CTGCTTACTGGCTTGCTCCCCTGGCCCCTGCTCAGCCTGCTTTCTTATCCAACACAGGCCCACCTGCCCACGGGTGGCACCACCCACAGTGCGCTGGGCCCTCCCACATCACTCAACAATCAAGAAAATGCCCCACAGACATGGCCACAGGCCAGTCCAATGGAGGCAATTCCCCAATTGAGGCTCCCTCAACCCAGCACAGTAGATTAAAAAGTGTGAAAAAAATAGACAATTCTAGGGGGAAGGAAGAAAAAGACAGGGATATAGAGAACACTAATGTGTTCCACTTGGCTGTGTCAGTTCTAATAATCCAGAAGAAAAATTAATGATGCAGGTATCCATAAGTGATGTAGCTAAATGGAATATTTAAGGAAAATATGGACTTTAATCCTTGTTTTCTCCCTCTGTCTCTGTCAGAAAATTTCAGCTAAGTTTGTGGCTAGAAGGCTAACACAGCTAGCTAGAACCACTGGCCTTGTGTCCTGATGAACCTTCCTCAATTCTGTTCATCTCAGAGACTTCTGCAATGGTTTTCAGAGGATTTTTTTTACATTTGTTTTATTTTCTAAATTTATAATAACTTGCCCAATTTTGAGACTGTACATAAGTTTCCTTCTCACTATAACCTAATGCCTAAGATATAAAAGATATGTACTATTTCCCTTGGGGATCCAGACTTTGAGGCTTGAGTCCTCTGGACCAGGCTGCAGCCTAAATAAGCCTGTTTCTGGCATCTCCTAGTGTTGTCTTATTTGTCCCACAATATATTTGAAGTCTATTATAGAGTCGTGAAATCACCACATTCTTCTACACACAGATTTTATTCTAAAATTGCAGAAAATCTTTGGGATAATGATACATGTCTGTAGTCCCAGAACTTGGGAAATGGAAGCAGAATGATCCATTCAAGGTCATCCTCATCTATCTAGTGAGTTTTAGGTCAGCATTGTTTATATGAGACACTACCTGAAAAACAGAAAAAAAAAAATGAAAGGAAGAAGGGATGAGGAGGAAGAGGAAAAGAGGAGGAGGGGGAGGAGGAAGGGGAAGAAAGAAAACACAAACAAACTACACAATGGGTAGG